CACAAGGGGCATTCTGGAAGAAACAAGCTCTCTCAGTGTCTTGCAAAAGCTCTGGCTTGGGGAAGGTGGGTGAAGTGGGGGGCTAGATCCATGAAACATTATAATATGTAGAGAGTTTAAGGAGAGATCCAGGGGAGACCTTTTAAGAACTAAACACAGAAGACTAGGCAGACCCTTGCAAGGGACTAGAGGCAGCCCTTCCCAGAAGCAGTAGTGCTTAGAATTTGCAAGCAAAGGCTCGGAAGCAGGCTCATGCACAGGGCGTGCTGAGGTAGACTACAACGGAGGATGATGGTGGTGAGGGTGAGGACCAAGAGGCGTTTGATGTGGTGACCACACTGGACAAAGTCTGGAATCCACAATTGGAGGACTGACTAAGTTGTACACGAGGCAGTGGGGACAGTAGGCAGTGCATGCGTTGGGGAGGGGCATGAGGAGAGAGCCCAGTGCCGGAAAAGTAAGGACAGAAGTGAGGCTGAGAAGGAGAGCCTGTGCTTCTGCGTCAGATCCAAGAGTGTAGATGAGATTCATGGCCCGGTGACAGGCTCTAGAAACACCTGCAGGAGACTCGGGCCTCCGCCCCCAGCAGACCTTGATGAAGGAGCTAACACACTGCCTGGGCGACAGAAAGTCTGAGTATCTTGACTCCTCAACAGGTTTACTGGAAGAAGCTGGGTGTTAGCAAATCCTTCAGTCTTGGGGTGTATCCATTTTGCCTGTGGCCTCAGTGGCCCAACCAACAGAAGACAGAGCATTAGAAGCAAAGTGCCTTGAGGATGTCAACAAGCATGAGAAACAAAACAACGCACCGACCTGTTGAGGGAGCCTCAATGTCCTCATCTGTAAAATGGGGGCAAGAGGAAGAAATCCACTCCCCACCTCGTGGTGAGGAGCAGTCGAGGGTGTAAATGCTTCTGAAACCCCAGAACTGTACAGAAAGAAGGGGCTATTTACACCCGTGAAAGAGATCAGCCTCAGTGAGAACACGCTTGTTTGCTTGTTTGTCCCCCCACTGAGAAAGCCCCTTCTGCCTGTCCCTGCACTCTGGGTCTACTGACAGGCCCTTACTCTCTTGGTTTTTGCACCTTCCTGTATCTCCAGGGCTTTGTCTCCAAGGGTCTTTCCATTTTTCTGGAAAGGCATTTATTTATTTTAGCTTGTAAGTGGGTATGGAGCGATGGTACCCGGGAGTATTCACTTTGCCAGTGCCGATGTGTTGGTGCGAGTTAGATCGGAATATTTTAGGGGAGATCAGTGTTCTACTGCCACTAAACTCCTGCCTTTGGACACGCTGGCCAAAGAGGTTTGACTCTTTGCACTAATTGATTTAATTAGATCATTGTCCAAACTGCACAAGGGGCTGGCTCTCTCTCTCCCTCTCTACCATCTATCTATCTATCTATCTATCTATCTATCTATCTATCTATCTATCTATCTATCATCTATCTATCTACCTACCTATCTATCATCTATCTATCTACCTATCTATATCTATCTAGCTATCATCTGTCATTTATCTGTCATCATCATCTATCACATATCTACCTATCCCATGAGTTGCTTCTCTCTTCCTGTGCTCTGTTTCGGTGCTAACTTGGAAGGTGGACATGAAAAGGATGACAAACGAACAACACACACTGGGGCATCATTTACGACGATTGCGGTACATCAACAGAAAACCTGTTCTGCTGGGCGCCTCTTCCCCGAGCAGACGTCAGAGAGATCTTCTCCGTGTGAATTGACTTTTTGTTGTGATTAAACTGGGTTTCTGTTTGTTTCCTCCTTTTCCTTTAAGAACAAGTGGAGGCTATTTGGGCGGTCCGGGTGGCAGTGTGCTGACTCATCTAGGGTGTCGAGAAGACTGAAGCAGTTTGTAGAAGGGTTATTTTATCAAGGGCACTGTCGAAGACAAAGGGCTAGACTCCAGATGTGTATGGTTTGGGACAATCCGTCTGACTGATGTTCCTACCCCAGTGCTTCTTCCCCTACCTCAGCTCGGTTCACTGGAGGTGGTACCAGCCTTACAGACTGCGCGTTGACACTAAAGCTTGGGCCACTGCTCTCCTGTGCTGGACTGTGACCACGCATGGCACTGAACTACATGGTGCTTCATCGGAGTTAAGACCTTATCACGTTCTCAGGGGATAGAAAGGCGTTTCCTCCCAATTCCCTTTTATGTTTAAGGAAAGCCTTCCTCAGCGTGTTCATTGCCAACTTGCATTTCAGTTTCACTTCATGAAAAAAAATAGCTTTAGTTGGTCTTCATAAGGCATTCTAATTGTAACCGTGGTTCCTTTGGGGTTTTCTGTAGAGCATAACCCGTGAGGCAATCCACAGAATTTGTTATGTGGAGACATCTTGATAGTTTTATGTGAAGTATTGAATGTGTGAGCAACGGTTGTTTCATAAACTATCTTTAGGAGCAGATGTAGCGCCAATCTAGCACTACATAAAAAGCCTGTCATTTGATAATAGTCTGCAGAAGGTGCAAAGAAAATACAAAGAACTAAAATACTTACGGAGTGAAATGCTTAGTAATTGAAACGATGAACCCATAAAATAAATGCTTGGTGTAGGATTGTGTTGTGTATGTGCCTATGAGGGAAAAGGAGGGAGAGAATGTCCAGCCTACAAATCCATTTGTCTGGTGTTGTGCTGAATGGCGCTTCAGGAGCCAGAACATGACAGGTGGCTGGCATAGGCTGCTAAATTTAGATGCTGCTATGCATCAGGGCACACCAGGTACCACTGCTCCTCTCTCACTAATGCCCTTGTGCACTTGCTTCCAAAGCATCAGACCTTAACTGTAAAAATTGTTAATCCCCACATACGAAATAACATGTTGTGTTGGTAAAAATCCGGATCCTTTTTTGAAAGGAACAAAATTGTTTTTGTCTGCCCCCCTACCTTCCCACCCCAGGGGTCCTACTGGAATCAACACAGGTGCCTGTTTCATGTTTTACAAACCAAAACAAGATTGTAAGAGTCAAGTGTTTGGGGTTAGAAAGAATATTTTGTGGGGAAAGAGGGTAGACCAGCAGTCTATATTGATGTATAGTGAACACTGCTGTTAATCCTTTGTGCATGTGCGTGCGCACACACATTAAGTTAAAATGTAGGGTATGTAAAATCAAATGTCACAAGGAAAATGTAATAAGCAGGCATCTCAATTATTAGGTACTCTTTACTATACAGTATAAATGGCTTTGTAACTCCGTAATGACAGTCCACCAGGGCGCTCGGACTGAGGGGTGAGTAGCTTAGCTACGTGCATGTTGAGTAGTGTTTTGTCCTCTTCCAGGTTTGGAAAGCCTTTTTCATTTCACATAGATATGGGAGCGTTCTCTCTTTCCAGGTAGGAAAAGTGAACGCTCAGTGGTATTTCCCTCTGACATCAGGAAAAAAAATAGAGTAAAAAATCTGTCACTAATTTGGTGAATGTTTCTCCAACTTGAGATAATAATATGAAGATGATAACCACTCGTGGATAACCCCTTTTTGTATCCCTACTGAGTGTCAGAAAGCTCTGTCATGGAGGTAGATGGCCAGAGGAACCAATTAGATCGTACTGCAAACAACAAAACAAGAAAAAATTAAAAATTTAAATGGCTTTATTGGTTCTTTAAAAAATACTAAGTTTTTTCACCTATATGCTTAAAAAGACGGCAGGAAGGTGCTCTTCATTTTAAATACCTAGTTTGTAAGTTGCAAACAATAAGGAACATTGAAACCAAGACAACTAGGATTAGTATTTCGGTGCTCCCTTCTAATCTTGACTCTTGGTTTCCTATTGTTTGCCGCTCCCTTCGGTGGACACACGCACACTGAAATGTCCACAATTGCAATTGCACTGTTTATAGTCCTACATCCTGCTTTTTCCACTTAACATACCATGAGCATTTTTCCATGCCATTAAATATGCTTTGAATATGTTCTTGGCCACATAAAATTCCATCCCATTGATGCACCTGTTTTCTTTTAAGCAAAGACACATGCCATTTTTTTCCAGTCATGCTGGACTCTCATAAGCCAAGGAAAATACTTTTGTGTTGATCTACCATGAGCCGCCTGAATTTCTCTATTTTAATCCCATTTATAAAATATATCCAACAGTACAAACAGACCTCGGGACAGTTGTGACAAGACAGTTTGCAAGCACTTTAAAGAAAACACCAGTCAGCTTCTGTCCCCTTGCTGTCAAATTATTAGTCACCCACATCACCATCACAAACAGTATGGGTGGGTGACAAGTGTCACAACTGCTTTCTCCACGATGAACTGTAAACTTCTGGGCACTCACCTGAAAACATTTGAGAGTCAAATACACTGTCCCCAAAAGTCTCAGGGCAAATTTAAGCTTTAATAAGTTCAAGAATAGGCTACAAACTTGAAAAAGAAACCCCTCAAAGCCACTTAAATCCTTTTTTTTTTTTAATTGCTGTCTTCAACCAGATGGACTGCTAAGTTGGGTTCTGACATCTGTACTGCGGCTCAGTAACATGCAAAGCACAGTGAACCCTTCGGTCCTCAGGAGGGCACTGTGGAACTACGTTCTTAGGGCTGGGCTGCTGCGGTGGGAAGGTTCTTTACATGGTTGGTGAGCCCCAAAAAACCAGGCCTCTGCAGGGACAAGATTTTAATTTCATTTTAATAAAGGGCAAGCCATAGAAAGAGATGAGATTTAAATGTTTCCATTGCACTTTCATGAAGCACAAGCTATTAAACCTTTTAAAAAACGCAAAGCTGCAATACGTGTGCTTGCTTTATGAGTACATTGATACTAATCTGGGCGAATGGTGAAGCTGCCTTGACCCAGAATAGCCTGTCAGGTAAAGAAGCTGTTTTCATGTACTTTTAAAAATACCAGTGACGAGTACATTTGGAGAACCGGGAACCAGGTAAGTTTTAGGGAACTCTGCGATTCCCAGTCCTCATCTGGGCACTGTTGTAACACACCACCTGTTCTCCTCCAAGTCTTTTAAGGTGTGTTTTTCCCCATCCCTTAATGTTTAAAAGTGAAAATTCGGTTACGTGCTTCTCCAGGGAAAACAAGCAAAGCAAAATCATAGTTCAGATAAAATATTATAGGTTTATTTAAAACTTAATTCTCACCTCGAGTATGCAAAATACAAACTCCACAAAATGTTCATTTTTTTTTACTTTGTAGTTTACAAATATACAAAATAGAAGTTTGCTTAAATTTATATTACATATTTATTAAGGCAAGGAGCTATATAGAAAACACATTTGTTCTGCTTAAGGCATACTTGGGAATAAACCATTGTACAAATTATTGCACATCTGAAACCACAGTGCATACAACAAGACTGTCTGCATAAAAAAAAATGTTAAAAGAAGTAAACCAGGTGTATTTACCTGACTTAGGTCATACATGTAGATCGGAAGACAACAATAGATTTTCCTTGTCGCAGTATGCAGCAGTTTGAGAACTTTGGCTTCCTCATTTGGTACCTTTAGAACCAAGACTCACTAAGCACCATCATTTAGGCTATTAAAACACATGTTCTGTACCTGAATTTCTTCCTTTTTTCTTCTCATAGAGTAATGGCTTTTAGAAGGCAAAGAGAATACAAGGTGATCTTTATGCTTATATTCAAGGAGATGTTTTTCCATTCCCGCTCCCAATTCTCGGATCTAATTTATACCCTGACAGCCACAACTTCCAGTCACCCCGCCGCCCGCCCCCCCCTGCTTGGCGTTTTTGTAAGTCCAGGAATGTTCAAGTTGGATTTTGTTTGGAATGATAGAAGATCCAGCCACAGACCCCAGATTTGTTGTTTGATCTTTTTTGTCTTTCGGTTTCCTTTCCTCCGTGCTTGCTGATTATCCAGTCACAAGCTGATCTGCTGGGAACTTGACCATGATTGTAGTGCTTTCCAGCCGGGTTCCTCTCCCTCACTGGGAAGACAGTGACAGGTAAAAATACTGAATTCTCTTCTGGCAGTGTGGGTCACAGCCACTGCTGGGGATTTAAAAGTGCCTCTTCATGTGTAAGGCGAGGTGGTCCGACCTGGAAAAGGCCCGGTCGCACTTCTGGCACTGGAAGGGGCGGTGCCCGGTGTGTTTGCGGTAGTGCCGGGTCAGTTCATCTGAGCGGGCAAATTTCCACCCACAGCCATCCCAGTCACAGTGGTAAGGTTTCTCACCTATCAAAAGGGGGTTGAAGGAATTTAAAAAAGCGCCAATGAAGTCACTGGTAACAAAGAACTAATCCTTTAAAAACCAAAAGGCCAATATAGGAAACCAACTCCCCACACTCCATGCTACAAGAATCTAAGAATGTCTTTGGGCAGTTGAAGGGTCACATTTAATTTTCAGATTACCAAAATAGGATATACCCCATATGCAGTCATTTTTTTAAGGGTGCATTCCAGAGCTAAGCAATGAAGATACAAATACCAGCCAAACCAATATTCACTTCTACGTGGCCCAATATTTTCATTCTTTGGAGCCAAGACATATTGACGGAAACAAATTTGGAAATGACTAGTAGTGTCTCTCCCCGCTCAAACGGAAGTAACAGTATCTACCTGGTCCCACTACTAAACCCGCCAAACCCTATCTCCATGGAGCCAGTTTCGACTGACTTATAGCAACTTATAGAAGTGCCCCAGAGCACCCAGAGCTTTAATCTTTATGGAAGCAGGCTGCCACGTCTTTCTTCCAAGGAACAGCTGCTGGCTTAGACCCAGAGCTTTTGATTCATAGCTCCTCTTGACCCCACCAACAATCCAGTCTCAACAGCAACAGGGGGCCGTTTTTCACTCTTCCCTGGTACCAACAGCTGATATTATAATGAAAACCCCAAATCACACTAACAAGTCTGACCCATAATGACCCTACAAGACAGGGTAGAAGTGCGGGGTGGGGTTTCGGGGGGTGGGGGGGTGTTGTCTCAGGCTGTAACTCTTTACCGGAGTCGAAACTAGAGGCCTAAATGGCAGATGTACCACCTCTCAGTACCCTGGAGACGCCGCACAATGGCAATCTTAAGCCAGAATTTCCTCAATTATCACAAAGATTAAATTCTTAAAAAGACCTCACAGTGACTATTGAAACTAGGGAGGGGAGTGGCGCTGGGTTAGATATTGTCAACAAAAACAGTCTAGAAAACGAGGGGGGAAAACAGCGATTTTCCAAAATAAAGTCACCCCGATTGTACGCTGCAGAGTAATCTTGATGATACGGCCGACGCTTTACTCAAGGAAGAGGCCCCGCACAGAGCCGGCATCTCCCTGCCTTCTCAAAGGCTTGCCAAAACTGCACATTCAAGCACTGATACCATCCGCCAGGCAAAAGGCTCCTGGGCAAACATGGAGGCGCCGGCTTGCTGTCCCGGCCTGTGATCTCAGGAGATGAAGGCGATAAGAGTGCACCCCACTGTCTCAAGGGAGGCCCGGGGCGGCCCGCAGCCTGTGGGGCTCCACACCAACCTTCCTCCTCCCCCTCCCCGCCGCAACATCTGCACACCTACCTGTGTGGGTTCGCAGGTGTGCCTTGAGATGAGAACTCTTCGTGTAGGTTTTGCCGCAGCCAGCGTAATCACAAGTGTGGGTGGCCGTTCTTTTCCGGGGCCACGACCTTCTCCCTCTCTTTGGCTTGGGCTCCTCCGGCAGGCAGGAACCTGGTGGCATGAGCTCTAGGGGTGAAGAGGGTGGGGTCAGCATCACCCTGGGTGCCCCGCAGGGCGGGCGCACGCGGCGGCGCTCCCCAGCCCGCGCCACCAGTCCCCGGGACTGACCTTGGTAATGGAGCGGTGGGACCTGCGTCTGCAGCTGGTCTGGCAGGAAGGGTGGGTAGTTGGGCCCGGGGTGGGGGTGGAAGCCAGGGGGGAGCGGCAGGGCTGGGTGACAGTCCCTGCTGCTCAGCAGTTCCTCGGCACTCAGGGTCGGCGGAGTCCTGCTGGGGAGCTGCCGCCCCAGGGGGAAGTCGTGGGTGGGCGGCCGGTGGCCGTTACTGAGCGAGGGTCCGGCGCCCAGGTGGGCCTCCAGGGGCCGGCTGACGGTACAAGAGGAGACCACCTCCTGCTTGATCTTGGGGCACATTCGCGGAGGTCCGCCGCTGTAGGGCGCCACCGCCGGGTGGCTGCCGTCCGGGCTGCCTTTAACACTGATGACCGACGGGCTGCCGTACTCGCTGCCGGGCGCGCTCAGCGACGACTTGAGCACGAACTTGCCCAGCAGCCCGCCCCCTGGCGGCGGCGGCTGCTGCTGCGGCGGAATGTACACGGGGTCCAATTCCGGCCGGAGGAGCTCGGCCACGAAGCCGCCCGAAGGGCTCACGTCGTTGATGTCCGCCAGGTTGAAGGGCGCCGTGGGAGGGGGCGCAGACTCCCGGCCATAGAGCAGGCCGCCGCCCGCGCCGCCCGGCGCCACGCCCGGCTCTCCCCCGGGCCGGAGCGGGTAGCTGAAGCTGCAGGTGGCAGGCGCGCTGGCCGGCCCGCTGCTCGACGGGGAGGAGGAAGAGGAGGCCGAGGCTGAAGCCGACGAGGATACGGCGGCGGCGGCGGCCACAGACTCCTGATGAGACAGAGAGTTGGAGAGAATAAAGTCCAGGTCCAGGAGATCGTTGAACTCCTCCGTCTCCCTCCGAGGTAGGAGTGCTGCGTTGCTGCCACTGCAGGCCGAGCCGGCTCCACCACTCTCCAGGTCTGCGGCCACGGTCGCCGCCGCCAGGTCGTAGGGGCGGCCGGAGAGCACCGGGGGAAGTCGCTTCATGTGCGAGAGCTCCTCTTGCCAGCGCTGCGGGGTCAGAGGGATAGAGAGACCTTCAGTGGCGGGTGCCCGGCACCATTCGGCTTCTTGGCCGGCCCGGCCCACGCCGCCCAAGCCAGGAGAATGGGCAGGCGGCGCCCGGCCCTCCGGTGGCAGCGCTGCGATCGTGGCCCTTGCTGGGATCGAAGGAGAGGTGGGTGCGCCCGGTGAGGGTGCTGTGTTGTGTCTGTCCCGGAGGGAGCACGAGCGAGCGCGCGCGGCGGTTCGCCAGCCCCTCCCTCGCCCGATCTCGGGGACGCTCCCGCCACCCCCGGAATTGGGACACTGTGGCTCGGTTGGTGCACCCTCGCCACAGCACCGCCTACGCGCCCTGTTCCCTGGAACCCAGGCAGCGTCTGGAGACCCAGCCACCTTGGGACCTTTGACGACCTGGTGCGCGCGGGGACCACACGCACACTTCAAGTGCGCGGGG